GTGACCGAAAAGTTGTAAATTTTGGAAATTTCTGAGGACACTTGGTCCTAAAACAAATTAGTTAGAAAACAAATAACTATTAAGTTTAACATATTTAGATTTTTACAGCTATGATGAGAAATGTTTAAAATCTACAACCCTGTCGCGTCCTTTGAGGTATACTAGTGATGCAACAAAAGAGATATTTGACATTGACCGGTATCGGCACCCTAGGGATTTGGCAGTCTGTGTATATGCACACTTTGCAACCATCTTCGATTCCATCTATTAGCCACTCGTAGGAGCTATTTGACTAAGTGGCTTGTTTTAAGATTTAAAAAGTAAAGAATATTTTATATTTTTATGTACGTTTCTTTACAAAGCTATATTTAATTATAATTTTCTTTAAAAGTATATTCATACAATTGAAGAATATTTTGTATCAGGTATGTACCGGTACATCCACCACACATTTTATTTCACCAAGTAAGTTTTTATTATTTTATTTTTAATTGTTGCCCTTATATTGTGTCTAGCGATTCCAAATGTAATTGTGATATTAAAAATGCATTTAGAGAAGTCTACGGTTTTTACTGGCTTATCAAATAAACGATACGAATGGACCCTAGAGGGCCTAGACCATCACTGACACTCAAGTGACTGATTGCCCCTGGGTGTCGACTTCTTACAGAAACACAGTTTCCTTATCATCAAATGTCACAGCACACCACTGGTTGGTAACCATTGTTTTGGCACTTACCTTCTTCTACTCCAAACAAGTATGACATACCAAACTTTCCATGCAATCTGTTAATATTAATAGAATTTCAACTATTTCAACTTTTCAGGACAATTTGCATCTACCAACAGTGGCTTCTGGTTTGTATAACTCAAAATTCATGGAAGTGGAGCTTACAATCTTTTACTTCTGAGCTCTTCAATTATCTGATTAAATTGAAAGAAATCAACATGATAATGCTGTAAATCCTCCAACAAATGCTCAGATGTGAGAGCTTTGCAAGTACTTTAGTGTTACCACCTGTCCAGTTTTCATCTGGACAGTCCGGGAATTGACTCCTTGTCCTGGTGAACTATTAATTTTGTCCGGGAATTTCATAGAAATTGTGAAATTACAATGAAACAAAGTTCTAGCAATTATTTTTACAAATTTACACTATTTTAACAGCAAAAGAACTCACACTCACTGAAACTCATCTGCAATTCTGCCATGTTCATCTGTTTACATGTGGCGTGCAACCTGCAGCCTATCAACCTTTTTGTTTTTTGTTTTGCATATACGATCGTACACGTCTACAGGCTAGCACGTTATTCTTCACATTGTAAAATGACATTGCACATGCATCAGGAACTTCTGTTCGAACAAACCTGACCTACCGTCCAGGTCAGCGATTTTGAAAAGGTGGCAACACTAAAGTACTTCATCAGTAGGTTTCAAAAACATTATGAATATGAACTTTTTATTGATAAAATATTGCCAAAAATAGCTGAAAAATAAAACAAATGAACTATTTGAGTAATTTTATTATAATTAATAAATATTTAAATCTTAATAAATGATTTTTAATAACTAATAAATGACTATCTCCTAAATTTATTTTTAATATTTTTTAATTGTTTTAACTTGGTTTTAAATTATCTGATTCAATGAAACTAGAATTTCCACTGATTATGGTCTAATTTCTTTCATAACTTAATTTTATCACTTTGTTATTGTTATCAAAATAGGTTAGTCTCAAAATGATTACAATAAGTGCCATCTACTGTATTAATAGATAGTTTTCCTAAACAATGGTGCATTTCATTTTATAATCAGTTAATTTGTAAAAATAGTCTTGTCCATAAAGAATCAAACTTTACTCATATAAAGAAGTTTTAAACAACCTATAATTTCAGAAAACCTATTGTTGAAATTCAAGAAAAATTTATTTGTATAGATGAAACAAATACATAATTCATGTTAAATAATATTGAAAAAGATTAATCATCACGGTTTGTAAACTACATCCTTATCATCATCATCTAGACTTTTTTCTTTCTCACAGAGGAGCTTTAATTTAACATGCTAACCCTCCAAACTATTCTACTTTACACTATTTCTTTAACTGTTCCCTTTAAAGAATTTTTCCCTTTAAATCTTTCTTAACTATTAATTCCTAACTTTTCTTAGCTGTTAAGTCCCTAATTAGTCTAACCAGTTCCACTCTTCTTTTAACCACATGTCGTTTTTATAAAAATCACCAATTTCAAAACTTTGTATTTTATGTAATACAGACATATTTAATGCATTGTGCCAAACATATTTTATAATTATTTTTGCAGTATCTATACAGTAAAACTGGAAGAGAATTCTGAATACCTTTAGGCAATTAAGTTGATTTTTGTGCTCATTAAAAGGTATGTTTGATTTTTTCTGAAAGAGAAGTTGTAGAATTTATTTGGAATTTTTTCTTCAGTAGTTAAGTTTATATTTTTGGTCATACTTTTACTTAAACTGAAAACAATTAAAATTATTTTTATACCACATAACCTATAACAAGATTTTAAATGATCTCAAATTACAATAAAAGAATTACAGAAACTGGATAAGTATCAGAATAAAAGTAGCATAGCTTAAATAACCCCAACAATAAATTTTAATAGACCAAAAACATTTTTGACCTATTTATATGGGTCTTCATCAATTGTAACAACAAAATATTTTCAAATTAAAACTACATACCATACACACAGTCTTCCAGCAAATAGTATGTATTGGAATTAAATAAAAGCACATGGCAGTCATTGGTTGATAACACTCTAAACAAAAGCAAATAAATTATATTAGAGCAAAAGAGGGTCTATAGATAAATAAGTTATTGTATTATACATGTTTATCTTCTTGTCATAATAATTTGTAGAGTTATATGTGAAATGTATCACATATGCATTAAACATTCAAAAACAAGTTGATATCAAAAAGAAAATTTTAAAAACATTCTAAATTTAGAATTACTAATCTTCTGTAATGATCAATGCTTGATGCAAGCCCTTGAGAGGTCAAAAACATTCCATTTTCATTTAATTCCAATATATATTACTAGCAGGTAGGCCTGGCGTTGCTCGGGCAAAACTAATGATAGTGAAGATTAAGATTATTAAGAAAAAAACTGCATCTGCGTCTTGCACGTTGCTTTCTCTTAACAATTCCATTGTTACATAACACTTCCATTGTTGACACTTCCATTGTTACTTAACACTTCCATTGTTGATGGAAGAGTTAAGCCTTAATACTGTCCCTCTCTCCCGTGGGGAGGAATTTCGAAAAATCCTTTCTTAGTGTGCATTCTCGTGACGTACCCTAACTGTGTACCAAATTTCAACTTTCAACTCCTGTTTGGGCTCTGTGCTTATTATTATTATCAACCCATCTCAATTATATATATAAATTTGCTGGAACACTATGTGTATGGTGTATAGTTTTGTGTGTTCCAGTTTTTGGAAACTTGCATGTTAAAAGATTTTTAATGAAAAAGAACACAAAAGCATTCCAATTAAAACAGAATATGTGTAAAATTTAAACTCAACAGAAATAAAAACAAACATAAAAATAAATAACACAGTGAAAACTGTGTAAACCAGACTCCTATCTTGATATTGAATATTTTCTTCCAGTTTGGCAGATTTCCATTTTGAATAAGTTCTTTCTTAACACAGAAAATCATTGTTACTAAGAATTTTTCCTGTTTTAGACAGATTTCTATTTTGGATAGGTTTTATTGTATAACGATTAAATATAAAAGTACCTATAAATAAACATCATAGAACAAAGCAAAAGTTAGCATCCATACAATAATGTTGTCAATAATGAATCAGCATCCCTGTGGTTGATACAAAATTGCTTATTTGTTTTGCAAATTTCCAACATCTATACACAGTGGAGATACATCTGTATAATACCACACTAGCATCCTATGCCACCAGCCAGGTGTACAGTACCCGTTAAATGACTAGGATCATTAGGCCCTCCAAGAACCCTAACTCACTCAAATACTTAGAGGTTACAAATTTATAAAGCAAAAAGTAAGCAATTTTGTATTAAACATAGGGACATCAACTCTTTATTGACAGCATGGAAGTTATTGTACAAATTCTAACTTTTTTTTTGTCCTATAATATTTATATGCACTTTTTTATTTTATTTTATGTTTAATCGTTATTTATTTTTATGTTTAGTATTGTGTTTTTATTTTCATTCAACTAAAATTTTACACTTATTCTATTTTATTTGGAATCTTTTTATGTTGTTTTTCATTAAAATCTGTTTCAAAAAATTCTAAATTATATAGTTCCCTGGTGAAGACTTATACCATATAAGTTGAAAAAATTTTTATTCTACTAAAATTTATTGCTAGGTTCAAGATATGAGCTGCTTTCATTCTAATCTTAAATTATTTCAGCTGGTTATACTGTAATTGATATGAATGTAAAATGATATAAAGTTAGCCAAAGATTTGAAATATTTCTAACATCTAACATTTAAAATTAAATAGTTGAAAAAATCTATAAATGAACTGACTTCAAATATTCTGTTGACAAGTCATTCATATCATCTGAAATCTTTTCCTATCATTTTGCATTATTTTAATGTGTCAAACAATGTAAATTCTTTTACTAGAGATCTTTCATGTTGAATATGTTGTGTATTGTGTGAATATGTTGCATATGTTGAATATGTTTTATTAATAGTTCATTATTCAATGGTTCAATTATTGATAACTGAATATAGACTGTTTATATAAATTGTGAAATTAAAATTATTATTCACATTTATAAGTGATCATACCACATTAAACAAAAATCTTAACTAATAAATTTCATTAAAGTAATATATCCAATAATTAATCTCTCATTTTTATAATTAAAGATACTGTATATTCATTTATTTGATTCACATCCATAAATTACAAAAAAAAATATTTCATTTCAAAAACTTCAAAAGCTTATTAAATATTTACAATGATATATTTAATTCCATTTACATACATATTTCATTTACATTTTTCTATTTATTATTATGTACTGATTTCCAAATAATTAAGAAATATAAGTTAAATCTTAAAAAGCTATGATAAGTTGTTATTGTTATTTTTTAAGTTTTATTGCTTTTCATTTTTATTTTTTCTGTTTGTAAATATTCAATTTTGTCTAATATGGATTTAATTTCATTTTGAATTGATGCAATAGTTACAATTCTATCAATATTCTGCTGGAAATACTTTTGACAATTTTTTAGACTTTGTGGTACTAAAACTCCAAACCATTTTAGAGGATCTTGTATTTTTTCATGAGATTTTTTTGTATCTTTACTTTCCTTTTTAATCGTTTCTTCTTTCATCTCTAATTCTGAAGTTTTTTCAATTAATTGATCAATTTCATTACTTTCATTGTTTAGAATTCTTTTCCTCATATAGTTTTCATTAATAGTAGTATTATTTTCATTCTTTCCTGTAATTTTTGAATCAATCACCGAATATGATATAAACGAATAACCATCATTTGATTCTTTTCTTGCTATTACATTTTTCAGTGCTGATATTTCCTTCATACTAAATTGTAAAGAACTAACTCTAGCATTACCAAGGCTATATCTAGCTTTAGCCATGTCAACATAAGCATACTTCATTAAGTTATTCATCTCATTCCTTTCTTCCATCAATGCATCCATGAGAGAAAATAACTTTAATAAAAGATTGTCAATTTCCTTACATGTGTCATGATAAGTATTCATCTCCTTCATAGTTTTTATATTTTCTGTAAAAAAAAAACATTTTAATTTTTATTCTTTAGTTACATTATGTCAATTTCAGCTAAGCAAATTTCATCTAAGAACTGTTTTAAATCATTAAAATATAAACGTAATTATTAAGCATTATTTATTTACATTTGCTAAGTAATGGGATGTTATATAGCATGGGATTCTTGAAAAATTACTCTTTTATAATTAAAATGTTTTATAGATTAATTAGTTTTGAATTGTTTTAATGTACACTCTTCGAAACAGACTATCTTTTTAATGTTTTTCGTTAATTACAAATAATTACCTTGCCCTACCACCGAATCCATCCTCCCTAAACGTCACGTGTTTGATAAACATTAACTACGGGTCGCCATCTACAAGAATTTAACTTTCATTTTTTTCTGAACTATATTTCGAGAATTTCGATTTAGGTACTTTTATTATAAAATAAATAATTATTCGATTACATTATACATTTAAATATATTTTAATACAGAAAATATTTAGATTATCATAACTTGACCCTTTTTTTTACTTTTTCGCCCTGTAGGCATTAATTAATGGGTTTTTTTTCACATATCCATCGTGGGTTCGGCCAAAGCCACAGTGAGAGCGGTGGGGTGTTGAAGGACGGAGCCTGACAAATCGAATTCTCTCAAAGTAGGCTGCCATCTTAACCACCCGTCTGCAATGGCTTTAATAATAATCTTAAAATGGTGATATAATTGACACGATTCAGATTGATTAATGTTTTTGTAGTTATGAACAAGCCTACTATAAAAATGTCATAAATATGAACACATTTGCTCATTCTAATCGATTGAATTCGGCACTCGCATCTTTTTAATTAAATAAAGTTCGAATAATGTATTTTGATTTAATTGAGGAACTATTGTGGAAAGAATTGCTGTTCATTTCATAACTTTGGTCTAAGTCAGGGGTATAATCGTAAATTAAAAAGTGCCAGCACGCTAACTGGCGGCCCGAGTTTGAATCGCCACCGTCTATGAAGTTTTGTATGGGAAAAGCGCAAATTTGTGACGCAATATCCGCAAAACCGCTTAAATGGCATAAAGTCGCTTTTATATTCTTAATCAGCGCAAAATACTGCGCAAGAAGTAATTTTCTCAGTTTTTTGGCTGAGATACATTAGTCTAAAATCCAACATAGATGTTCAAAAAGTATGAGATTCACTCTGCTTTAAAAAAGTATCAAGCCGCTGTCCCAATAAGTCCTGGCCCGACTACAGTGCTATTTTAAATAAAATGTCTATATTTTGTGTTTAGATCAGGGCTGTGGAGTCGGAGTCGGAGTTGTGGAGTTTTGGTGTTTTGGCCGGAGTCGGAGTCGGAGTCGTCAAAAAATCCGCCTACTCCGACTCCCTTTTTACTTACCAACTTGTTATGTACATATATGAAACGGAGTCGTAGTCGGAGTCGGTAGATTTTTACGCGACTCCACAGTCCTGGTTTAGATTCAAATACAAAATCTAGTCTGGTCCATATATTTCCGTCTTATATAAGTCGGCCTGATTGTCATAGCAGTTATCAGTTGCCCTATGAGATCGCTCCTCAGATGTCCCGTATATACATTGGGCCCATCTATCACTACTTGACCGCCCCTGTTATGGACTTGATCAAATTCGCAATGAACATAAACAATCCCTCTTAATGTGCTCAGAGTAGAAAACATCAAAAACGAAAAAAATCAAGCCTATTGCTTTAGTTTGAGTCTAGATCAGGGGTCGCAAACTGGCGGTCCGCGGGCAGGATATAGCCCGTTAAGGCTTCATATCTGGCCTGCGCCTTGATGATTTCTAAAAAATCAATGTTTCTAACATCCTGCGGGAATTAAAACAGAAAAAAATTCAAATGGCCGTATGAATTATGTATATTGATGGACGGATGGCCGGACGGTTAAGATGCAGCCTACCGCTCTGGGAACCTGGGATCGAATGCAGATGGGTCAAAAAATCTCCAGGAATTTTTCGTGGGTGGTCCGTCCGGATATGTCGGGCTCCGTCCCTCACTACCCGGCCAGGTTTGGCTAGGTAATGAAATAAGTAGTGAGGGCCTCTTTTAGCAAGCCCATTATGGTTCGAACACATAATGAGCTTGCTAAAAGAGGTCCTGTTACTGTCCACAGAGCAGAAAGAATTTTTAAAAATATCATTGTTTTATTACATTGTACTATATCATGTTTTTATTTACATACGTAATAGTTTTATTCTTATTTAATAAGAATAATTTGTTAAATCTGTTTATTTGGAACTTGACAATATAAAACAATAATGTATCTAAATATGTAATTTCTATTGTCTTAGCTGCCAAGCTGAACTGGGACTATTTTTGTATCTGTAGAAATAAAAATGAAAAAAAAAATTCCCACGAGATAAGAAAAGTTTAAACAATAACTTATATGAAGTTCTTTTTACAATTAAATTAAATTGGATTTCATATGAACTCTGGCTTATATGAGAAAATGTAAGAAATGAAATTTAAACTCTATTTGTACTTGCATAATTTTGGCGATTGTATGGATTCAATTTATTTTTTGTTGCTTAGGGTATTTATTATAAAATATAAAGTATTTATAAAAATTTTAAGCAAAAAAAAAAAAATTATTAAAATTTAGAATGNAATTCCAGGGATGCAGTCGGGATATCGGGCGCGTGGAAGTTTTGTTATGAGGGAAACCACCCCCGTAACTGATTTGTTGAGTTTCCTACTTTGATTGTGTTCACTGTTTCGCAAATGAGTGGTTGCGCGTGCGCAACTTTCCATGTTTATTCTTAAGTTTGTTTTTCGAAATTTTGAATCGCTTAAAGTTCGTTTTAATGTTCTGTTCCATACGCATTCGAATTCCTCATAAACATAGCCTGACGAAGACCCGGATGGGGTCGAAAACGTTTGCTGATGTATGAAGCAAGTATCACTGGAGTTACGAAGGTTTTTGTGTGAAAGTATAATGTTTGATAAAGTGAGATCAATGTTTCATTACATCTTACTGATTATGTTATAAGCAAATGACTTCTACTATTGGCCATTGTTACAACCTTATTTTATAACAAGTTTATAACAATGCACAAACTCACTAATATCATAAATTGTAACTACATTTTACATACATATACTGTAGTATGTAAAATGTAGTTACAAGCTTTCATTCATATAATCATGTTGATTAATATGAATAAAAGCTTTTTATTGGATAACATAATTGTAAATAATTATAGTATATTTTAAACATTAACAAAATTAAGCTTTCCTAAATGAGTGCCTGCATGTTATATTAAATAAATTAAGTACAAATTTATGCATTTACACAATTTGTTTAAAAAATGCTAAAAACAGTTTAATATTGTGTATGCATAAATATGTACTTAATAATATATAAAAGTCACACTAGTATATTCTTTATAGGAGCATAAAAAGTACTATGAATTATTTAAAAAAACTATTTTTAGCATTTTTAGCTCATGAACACTGAAAGTTTTAAAAGTACTGGAGACTATGTAAAACTGTTTTTTTGTGTTTCAATAAATAATTCTTGATAATTCACAATTTGGTGTAATTGTAATTATCAAGAATTGGAGATTAATATTAGATTATTTTAGTCTAATATTATTATGTACTATAAAATAAACCTAAATTGAATTAAGTTTTAAATGTGATGATAAATTTTTCATTATACAGAATATTTTTAAAATGTCAACAAACTGCATGAAAACTGGCACCATTTTTTAAAAATATATCAATGAAATTGCTTTCTTTAAGAAGCCAAATTTATTACAACAGAAATATTTTTGATCTGTTTTAGGTAATCTCTAACTTGAAATTGAAAATTTCAAGCTAATTCTTTAGCTTATAATAAAAGAGTATTGAATTGAAGAGATTTATATAATCTCTTCAATTTAATACTCTTTTTAATATAGAATCATAAGTTAAGTCCTGATAAAGGTTACTTGGACTAAAGAAATCATTGTATATATCAAAACTTTTTTTTTATCTTTAATTTTATAGCCTTGAAAATTTATTAAAATTTATTGCACTTTAATTTTGCTTTAATTTTATTGCAGTATCATTATGTAATTGCAAATAAGTATGTGATCAAATTTTATTTATAAAAAGGCATATATTATCTACATACAACAAGTATTCTAGTTTACGTTAAAGCAATTTACTTTCTTGAATAAATTCTATGGAGAATAAATTCTTTAGTCAAAAATAATGGCTTCTCTCTATCAGAAATTTTAGTTAGTTATTTGTAACTTAGAATATTTCTATATTTTTATACTTCTTTTCAGTTTGTATTTGTTTGTTGATATTTATTTATATCATGAAAATACAAATTTGTTGAATTAAATTTTATATAGGAGATAAAGAAAATTCACATTTAAAGGTGTTAAGATAAGAAAGAAAAAATTATCAAAAACAACTTGAAATAAAAATCATGATGAATAAGTAGTCTTGAAACAAATATTTATTTACAAATAACACAATAATCTACAAATACTTAAATTTGTTGTAGTTAAATATATTATGCAGTTATTAAAATATAGAATAGAATTTTCTTACTTCTTATTTTTTCTTCTTATATGTACTAATCAAAATTTCAAAATTATCATTAAAATATATAAAGAAAATTATGAACCTTTTTATTATTCATATACAGAAAAAGCCTTTTAGTTTATTCTAAATATAACAATAAAAAATTTTAAAAAAAGTAAAAAAAATTAAGAATAGAGTATGGAAAGAATGATTAAGAGTGGATTGCATTACAGAAGCAAAACTTTTATAACATTTTGTGCTTTTTGAATTATTTTGTAACAGCAAGAATAAAAAATTTAAGAATGTAAAGAAGAGAGATTTTTCTGGATGAAATTATAGAATAGAAAATAATTTTGGCTTTTTTTTATAGTATTTTGAAATAGTTTAAACNACTTACGCTCGTTGGAGGCTATTGAGATTTATAGAGAAACCATAAAGGGAAGCTGCATTAACTCCGATTATATTCCGATTCCACAATCGTGGAAATATTATTTACATTGCCACAAGGCACAACAATAATCGGAAGTTTAATTATTTTTAATCTTTCTGCTATGTATAAGAAATCAGAGCGTTTACATCACGCTAATTTTCACAACTATTTAATAATATTTAATGTATAGCAGTGTTTACATAGCGCTAATTTTCACAACTCTACAATAATAATTTATGTATAGCGTTATTTTAAAATAATTTTTTGTCTTGTAAGCGTAACGATTTTTATATCTTACGCATCGTTTAAATATTTAAAAGTTCGGAACACAGCTGTATTCGATTATTAGAATCCTTCAAAAGATAGAACTGTTTTTTAATGTTTCATCCTGAAGAGGGCCTCTAAAAGACGGCCGAAAACGTTAGAATATTAAAATCTTTTGACTGCTGGAAGTAGTATTGAGGTGTTAAGTGTTGTGTGTAGTATATCTTTCCAGTTTACGTGTGTTAATTTTTTGTCTGAAGAGTAAATGAGTAAGAAGAAACAGAAAAATAGTTGAACAAAGTTTTCTGTCAATGTGCTAATTGAAGGAAGGACACCAGGAAAATGTTTCATATACAATGAAGAGCTTTGATATGAGAATTAAACTGAATTAATAGAATAGAACTATAACCATAATATATGAAAGACAATATTGAGAAATGGAAGGTGTGTAAAAATACAAACTGAAATAAAGAAACAAAGTAGAATAAATAAAGAGTTCCAAATAAAATACAAATCATAAAAATACATAGTCTGTAACAGATAATTAGTATTACAGTGAAAAATAGAACATTAGAGAAAACAAATTAAAATGTGTTGAATTAGACTGGATAATATGATAGTTATTTTATAGGCTTTTTTATAATTGAAATAAAGTAATAAAATTTTTGTTTTAATGTCAGTTTTACTTTAACTCTCTAATAATATATAAAAATACAAGATTAGAAACCAAAAATTCAATTTAAAATATCTATATCACATACCCAAACTCCAGTATACAACATATAGTTTGCAAAGAAAAACAAACATTTTCAGTGGGCTTAAGTCACCATCATGTTATGGTTGCCTTTCAAATGTAGAACAATGTTTAAGATGTTGTATACTTTAGTTTGGGTATATAATATAGATTTACTAGTTTATCCAGTTATTCTGTGGTGTTATATTCCATTTAAAATGTATTTTTAAAATTTATTCTTCCTGAACAGACTGTAGAAACAGATTAAATATTTCAAAGAATTTTCTAAGTGTAAATTTGAAAAAATATGAACTTTTATTTTTGTTTAAACAGTTTTTAAATATAAATTTATCTGTTCATAAAATGTTTTTTAAAGGTGAAAAGAAAAGTTTTTGAAAAGAAAAGTTTGTTTGAAAAGTTTCTAGAAATCATATGCAGTATTTTAGATTATACAAAAATCTGAAATAAATGAAACAATGTATTTCTTGAATTATTATATCAGAATTTTAATAAAGTGCTTAATAAAAAAAAAGTGTTTTTCATATACAGGGTGTCAAATAAGTCACTAACAACTTTGAGGATAAAAAATCAGGGATTTGTTGCATTGACATGAAACTTGATGAGAATATTATTGAGACCAAAGGTAATTAGTAGATGAGGTTTTTGAAGTGCTCTCCTTTGTGGATGATACAGGAACATAATACATGCTTGAATCAGCAACCAATTTGCCAGAACTTCATCAGGAATGGCTTGAATCTCATCATTGATAAGATTTGAGCTGTTTGAGGTTGGCAATACAATTCTGATCAATCCTATTCTTGAGATAGCCCCAGAGGAAAAATCCATGGGATTGAAGTCCGGGGAATGAAATTCCTCCTCTGCCACACTCTGGGAATCCTTAGCAATCACCCTTGATCCAAAATATGATTGTAAGATGTTGAAGTCATCTTCAGTTAGATGAGGAAGAGGAGCATCTTGCAGTGGGGTTTTCATCACGTTTGTATCAATGTTTAATCAAACAAATGCATTCATCCACTGGATATTTGCTCATTTTTCTAAAAATTGGCATGTCAGCACTAAACAATTACCTTCATTTACAACATGGTGGCTGCAAAATATCAGTGCTCTCAGACAGGTAGTTAAAAAGTTATCTTCAGTCAAAGTTGTTAGTGACTTATTTGACACCCTATATATCAGCTTAATTTTATACAAATAATCATCAGTATTGCTTTTACTGAAGGCTTATTTTAGGTTAAAAAAAATCACAAAGAAATAACATGTTAAATCAATTACTTACTTTATATTATTTTAAAATTGTCATTTTGATTAATATAGATGATAATCATGTGTTGTTCATAAANAAATTTTTAATTATTTATATTTCCAGGCAATTTAGATATAGACTTGTCTATCCTTTTCAAGAAAAAAAAAAAAAAAAAAACTCAAATTTAAGAGAATGAAATTAAACATATTTTTACCAAAGGAAATTTTTAAACAAAATTCTATAACACTGATTTATAGAATTTCTATTACAAATTTTTGAACGAGTATTTAAGAAAATATGACTCCTTCAGAAATTTATGAAAAAATTTACATACAAAAGAGTGTAATAAATTGTACATTTATCCACCCTGTAATTTATTTATCCTATACCTTTTTTAAAATGCATATTTATAGGAAAATTATTTCGGTCTCTATTATTTTCTTCATTATATATTTGCTTCAAAGAAACAAATCTTTATCTATTAATTGTTATATTAAACTTAATACAGTTTGAAATGCATAAATGCCCATAAGTGATTTGTTAAATGTATTTATTTCAAATTAAATCAGATAAAAAATTATATAATGTATAAATCAGACAGAAGAATTCGTGTTGTTCTGTCGGATTTATATATTTTATTATTCTATATTTTATCATTTAGTGTTTTGTAATATACTTTATCATTTAATTTATGGTAACAATTAATTGTTAAAAATTCGAAAATAAACACATTAATCACAAATAACATTAAAGTAAAAAATAAATTTATTTGATTTTAATTTTTAAATAGTAAATCTTAATATAAGTTCAATAATCGACGGACATCAAGATTAATAAATCTATAAATACTATTAAGCATTTTTATTTAGTAAGATTTTTGTTGGCAAGACACAATAGAAAGGTTATCATTAAATCATTTCTTACATCTCAAAACTTTCGAATAAAAAATTCTCTATCTTGAGATAAAAAAACAAACAAAAAGGAATTACTCATGTATAACTTCACGTATTCTTATCAATGAAAGACCTTTAGGTACGGTCATGGTTTCAAATTTCCGACCGACTTTGTCAATAAATGTGAGAGGTTCGACTTAAAAACATACCGATATATTATTTGATAATCTTTAATAAATCTTTTTCGGAAGTTTCCATCATTGAAACGTCAAGAATTACAATGTTCGGCATCGGAGTTTCTAAAAATGATCTAAAATCACAAAGTGGAAAGTGTGTTACTTAATATAGATCCATTTTCAAAGATTTATTCGTGCTTACCCCATACGCAGTTATAGAAGGTATAATGAAAGGTCATTATAAAAAAAATAACCCATATCAAAAAACGGACTGAGGACCAGGATATAAAATATTTAATGCTTCGCTGGTCACTTTGATGTTGATAAGTGTAGACATTCTCTACATTATGGATTTTGAAAATGTACTTGGTTTTATTTGGATAAAACTTCCGAAGTTTTCCGCGAAATGAAATTTATAGAAAAACTTTTCACTTTTCTGAGTTCTATCCATTTGAAAGTTGGGGACCATTCAAGTATTACATCAGTTGTTTATGAGGGTGGGGATTGTAGATGATGGGGAGAAACAGGGTGAGTCTTTGATGACGTAAAGTTGCAGCCGTCGTTTATTTTTCTCTCCAGTCATCACAAAATTGTCTGGAAATAATTCTTCTGTATTTGAGAACGGTTTTAACTTCTGGCTTGATGACATAATTAGGGGAAGGGGATAGCTTGATTTCTGATGAATGGTGATGATGGAGGAAGGGGATCAAAAAGGGCAAATTTTTGCTAATGTAATTCTTGAACGGCCCCTTGTTCGTATTCACTCGGATAACTAAAATATTTTAATTTCGATTTTATTGCAATTCCTTTGATTTTGAATCATTAATTAACATGCTCAAAAATTTTAATTGTTGATTTTTATATAACTTTAATAATGATAGGATGATATTTTAAAAATGTTTATATATTTATATAAATTAACTAATACAATAAACACCAGATTAATATTTTATGCTAAATATTTAGACTACATATCTACATTTATAATAAAATAGACGGAATTAAAATAATAAGGTTAACCGTAACTAAAACATAGATGAAAGTATTAGATAAGTTAGAGAATAATAAAATATTCTTACAAATTGATTCTTAAAAGTTATGTTATATTTAAATGATATTCAGATTATTGGAGATATTTTCAACATTTCCATGTTGTTTAAAATAAATGTATGTAATATTTCGACATGACTACTCTTTCAGAAATGATTATCCCAATAAACTGCTTAATAATGATGTCATAATGTTTGCTATTTTTAGATAATAAATTTTGTTTTACTACATAAAAAAGAATTAGAATTAAAACATAGTAAACACGTGTAGCTATCTAAACAAACAATAGGTCCATATTTGAAAAAAAAACAGAAAAAAATACAATAAAATAAACAGTCGAAAATCGAAATGCGCTTGAAAAGCTAAAAAAAAAAATGTTACAGATTTTCAGACATCATGATAAATGATAATGATTATATTGGACAATAGGTTATTTATATATATCTCTTCTAGCATGAATTTTAAATAATGCCACAGACAAAAATTGTCAGAATCATCTATTTAATTTTTCGTAATAAATAATATTTATTCTATTATATGAAAATAAATAAATCTTGATCATAAATAATTTACAACGGTTTAAAATTGACAGAATAATCCGAATAGGAGGCTTTTGATTTTGATGTTTTAAACACAGATTTTGGAACTATTGGCTTTGGGATAGGAATAGAAACGAAAGGAATCGATCGAACAGGTTTTAACATTGTTTTCAGTTGCTGACCTTGCACTGGTTCTTCTACAGTTGTCTTTTTGGCACGACTATTGGCTTCGATCATCTTTTGAATAAAGGTCCTAGTTACATCTGTTATCTCTTTTCCGTCGAGTGTGACTAGAGACGGACAGGATATGATTACGTTATCTTTATATCTGTACAGTTTACATACTGGATTTCCAGTCAGATATAATATTTTGAGTCGTTTCCAGTGCTTTATGGTATCAGAAATTTCGTGTATTTCTTCTATATTATTTTTTTCAGCATATAACTCTTCTAGAGAAATTAAACTTTTTAAAGGATTCAATCTTCTCACTCGATTTCCGCAGATATCTAGAATCTTTAAAGTATACGAAACGGCTTGTATAGAATGATAATCAAATGCTAATGAATTTTCGTCATCTCTATTTTGATTTCCCACGTATAATTCTTCCAGTTCGGTTTGTTTATTCAAACCTATAACAGCCGTAATGAGGTTCCTATTTAAATATAATTTCTTCAATCTCTTCAGATTTTCCAAGTTTTCTATTTTACTTATATAATTGTTTTGAAGATATAACTCAGTTAGGTTGACCAGATGAGAGATATTTTCCATCTTTCTTATCTTATTATCGAATAGATAAAGGGCAGTCAAATTGATGCAATTGTCAAGGTTTTCTATTTTCGAGATGTTCTTATCTTGCATGTAGAGATGAGTCAACCTGAACTGGAAGGAATCGTCTTTATCTTTAAACTTGACTTGAGAAGAACATCGACGGATTAATTCGTTATTAATCATCTATTAAAAATACAAAATATATTTATAAATACAGATCTTCGGTTTGATCGATCACACAATCTACAAATTTACCTTGGAAGTATTTATGAATGAATTTTAAATTTGAATCTGTTGCTATAGCAACGTGAAATAACGATTATCAAAATTACAAATATAAAAAAAATAATATAACACGATATAATAATATTAAAAAATTATTAAAACATTTAATAAATAAGAATCGTTTATATAAAAATTAACCATTACGTCACGACTATAGATAATTTGAGAATTTTTTTAATGATTTATTTTCGTTTAATATTTAAAATAAACTTATAAATACATTAAAATTAAATTTATTCCTTTAATCGTTTAAAAATTATTTAAAATTAATCAAATTCTTTAAGCAAAAAAGTTGTTATATGATCGGTTGTCATGACAACCGGTTTGAAGAGTAAAGAAGGCGCTGCGGTCGTCTTCATACACGTTCAGTCACCTTTTATTAAACCCAAATAGTGGAGGTGTAGTTTCCAATTTAGAAATATATTTATAACAGGTTGATTTCTTTTTATGTTTACGTATTGACTTGATAATTTCAGTAAGTATACGTGTTTGTGTACGTATATATATATAAATATGTTTGTTTAAGATCTAGTTTTACGTGAATGAATTAGTTGTTGACCGAAATATGTATTAAAAATGGACTTATAAAAATAAATTTTTGAATGAGTGGGCCATACAACCAATGATATTGAACGTAGGGTTANTTTTCTGTGAAAAATTTGTTGAACTTTGGAGACATCATTAATATAAATATAATTTTTATGGCCGTTAAATAATAAATGGTTTTTAGTAGGTCCGCTGCTCGTTTAAACTCAACAGTTTGTGCAATATCCACTATTGGTCTAGATTCGACCAATCCTGTTGCAACATGAGTCGACAATGATATGTTACTGTATTATAAGAGTTTCTTTTAGCATATTTATATGAATATGATCACAATTTTTTTGCCGTTTATATACGAATCCGTATTATATGAACCCATTTTATAGGGGGGTCTACTGTAATCACCTAACCAGTTAATTCTGCAGCTGCATGCTGCAAAGTTACATTGTTTTGATTGATTAAACCCTGAACATTTGGTTTTGTTGAGCTGGCAGATGATGGTCTATTTTATTCTTGCATGCAGTTATTCTGAAGATAATTCATAGGCCAAAAATATTTATGATGATATTAATGTAAAATACATTCTAATAAATCAGTTTTTTTATAACTTTTCTCAGAATGACATTAATAAATGAGCTGTGTTTTTGTTTATATGGCATAACATTTTTTAGAAACTGTTTTCATGTGTTTGATTTAAATTTTCTGTTTTAAATATTAAAAAGTTGAAGGTAATCAAAAATATTGAATGTTACTTGCTTATACAATTTAATGTAGAATTAGAAAATAGAAGGATTTATATTATTAAACACAAGAAACTAGATAAATATAAAAATCAGTTACAAACAAGTTTTAAAATACTTTTTTCACTTGTTTGAAAATAGCATTTTGTAGATTTGTTACCGTAAAAGACTGAAATTAGAGAATGTCAACACACATCAAATACGTCAGTGAAAGTCGAATATTTAGTTATATTATTATACATTTGAACCATCGCCGGTATATGTTAACAAGCACAGATAAGTTCTGGTGGAGGTTGAAACGACAAACCTAGAAGATACAGCCAGAGAGAAGTGACAAAAATGCCAAATACTTTGTTCTCTTGTCAAATCCTCTGCTGCAATTGAGGTCACATGGCATCTATTTGTTATACTCTCAAACACTCTGCTGTTTGTCAGTCTTATGCCAAGTTTGCTTAATTTTTATTTTTTTATCTGAATTTATATTGAATGGCTACTGCAGTGAATTGAGTTTTTTTTTTTTTAAGTTGAGTGCATTAATTGTGAGTAAACAAGAAGACAATTGTTTTTATTTTTCTCAAGAAAAGTACCTCTAAAATACTTTCTGAAGTGATTTCTGCTAAAACTAAGTGCAGTAAACCTTTGGATTATAGATGATTAAAACATTTTGACATTTTAAAAACTAATGATGAAGAAAAGTTAATTGAGCCATTAAAACCAGGAGAAATGAATATACAGTATTATGTTACTAATAGTTGTTCTGATTTTTTCAAATTTTTCTATGCTAATCATTTCATATTCTTAAATTATTCTTTTATATATATATATATATAAAAGAATAGTTTAAGAATATGAAAAGATTAGTGTAGAAAAATTTTAGTATCTATCATTTTATATTAAAAAAATAAAATGATAAAAATTTAAAATTTTTATAAATATCTATTAGTGAAGAATATTAATGCACAAGTTTTTTGAATCACTGCTTTATAAAAACGCATACCAACTATAAATCTAACCTAGTTAAATAGAATGATGAGTTCACGTCAGTCATAATACTAGAAAACTTGTTTTTCTAAATGTTTGTAAGTTGATCAAGTAATCACAGAATTAGTTATGTTTGTGAATAAACTATTCAAATTAGAATGAAATTATATATACATTACATACTATTATATATATAATTGTAATATAGTCTTTTGTTAATCTAATTAGCTAATTTAAATTGTATTCATTTTTGTTTTAATTTTGAATTTTAATGATTTAAATAAAATATTTTAAATTTAAGAATTATAAGGAGATGGACTTTCTTTCAACCATGTAGAGGGCATTCTATGATCTTCCATACATCTTGCATTAAGATGTATATTTTGTAAAATTCTTTTCTTTTGTTTTTGAATTGTTATTTAATGTATTATCGGGATTGAAACAAGATGTTAAATGCTGCAATAGACGTGTGCATTTCACAATGTTTCTAGCTTTTAAATTTATGTTCTATTTTTTAAAAATTCATNATACTATTATTTTTGCATAATTAATTTTTTACATTTATTTAAATTTTAAAAGGAATTTTTAAAAAATTATATTATTAATTTCTCTGCTTTTTGTTTTCTAGTCTTAATTGATTTGGAAAATGAATGATTTAATTATGGTAAATTAAAATAAAATATAAAATATGATTAGAAAATTAACAAATTTTTTGTGACTAAGATTACTCTTTAATGATTAAAATTTTTATTCTTTTAATTTACTATTTTAATGATTTACTATATTTTTGTGTGTATAATCCACAATGGCATATACGCCACAGAAAATTGCTAGAAATTAAAATAAAACCACATAACTTTGCCTCATCATATTTGAATACTATCCTGTGCCTATGGGAACATCATTGTTCTACAGGCATACATTTATAATTGCAGTTTAAAATCAGTATATAACCCATACCTCCTTTCAAATTGCTTTTTAAACAGATAATGAATGACTCCTAACCTGCAAGTTATATGTACAGTTTTTGAGCTACTTTTAATCCCCTTCCTGTTGTACACAATGATGTATTTTTGGCAAACCTCTCACTTTAATTACATGTACAATAGTTCATGGACCCCTGACATTGAAGAAACAACTTAAAGTTCTGCAGATATTTTCTAACTGATAGTATATTCACATGACTACTAAGTAGGTTTATAAGAACAAATTTGTATGCCACTAATAATACTAAAAAAATGTCCATGTAGTCAATGCCTTTAATCCCCACTTTCTCTATCATGTACAAGAATGTATGTTTTGTAATCCTCTTCCCTTTAAAGTGTATACATAATTAAGAGATAGATCCTTATATGGTTTATGTTAAATTTTAAAATTTTGTTTTGTTATAAATTTCTAAATTGACAGAATATATATGTGATAAGACTTAATTTATAGGACTGAATTATCTTAGTTATTATTTTTCTTTTTATGAGCTTCATAAACAATTTTAATTATTATTATTATTATTATTATGCTTTTAGTTTTAATTTTAATAAATGTTGTTGATTAGTTTTAAACAATAATAGGAAGTAATATATTTGAAATAAATTTTAAATTATCTTTATATTATTTATGCCAAAATAATTATAGCATAATTATATCACAAATATATTCATATTTCCAACAAAGTATTCTATATTTCATTATAGATTATTTTATCTAAAATAGTTTTTTTCCAACATTGTTAATTTTTAATGATTTGTATAGTAAAGAATTATTTAAATATTGTATTTTTGAGATCAAAGGTCTTGTATATAATAAGTATAACATTGTTCTGTTAAAATATAGTTTTCAACATATCAAATATCTGCCAAATGCATATGACAGAATTTCTTTGAGCATTTCATCTTGTTTCTGGTCTTGTTTCATGTTCTAAATTTTTTTCCAAAATTACTTTTCTCTCATAGAAATGCAGTTTAAATTTTATACTGTCTAAATTTTAGTTTTTACAAATAAATCACAATATGAAATATATTAAAAAAATATATATTTTTTAATATATGAAGCTTTTAATAAAAGATATGTTATGTAAA